ATTTTTTTAAAATGTTCACATAAACATGCTTACATTGGTAAATACAAAGAACTAGGACCAGAAGTCCAACAGACTGTTAAAAATGATCCTTTGTGTGGAATGACGTGGAGTAGTGGGATACAGGAGACTTCCACATTGTACTCAGTATTTTTATGTTATTTGATCGCTTTACAACAAGAATATATAATGTATTTTAAAATGAGGCATTTTTAATGAAGGGAGGTATGCATGAACTTCCTACAACATTTTTCATTAAAAGGAGGCCTCAACTGCACAAAGTTTAAATTTAAAAGCCCTGCCCTACAGTGACACCAAATGGCGGTAGATCAAAATACAGTACACAAACAGGACATTTGTTTAATTCAATCTTCCTATAAATGTTTGATTCCTTTGAAGAACAGGTAACTTAACAGAATTAAATAATACAGAGACAAATACTCAAAAACCTGTAATTTTTAATCAAAGAAAGTCTAGTATACGAAGCTTCAATTGCAAATTTTTAGGCCTCTTTCCAAACTTCAGTTAATCTTCTGATCCCATTGAATATTTACATAAATCATTTCTCACACAGTTAAACCATGTCACTGTGAGCACAGTGATTTTACCTAATGGCTTATTGATCAAAGAAAAGCTGCAAATACAAGAAATGCAGTCATACAACAAAAGTCAGGCTATACTTCATGAGAACCAACCTTTGCTAAGCAGGCAGTATTTTGGAAGGATGGATGAGGGATGTTGGGGCTGAAGAGGGAAAGGAGAAATTTGAGAAGAGAGGCAACTGATCCAATTAGTAACAGTTTCTATGAAGTATATTTCTGTTTCTTAATCTATTGACAGAAAATTAAGTTGAATAAAAGAGGAGGCTACTGTATCCCCGAAATAAACCAATCTCTCAACAAGAAATTTTTGTCCTAGACTGTCCAGGGAAAAGAATATTTCAAATTAAGTACATCAGTCAGTATTCTGCATTATATGCCCAGAACCTAAACCAACAAATAAAAACTGCATGTAAATTATCTTATTCATTACAAGCCACCACAAAAACATACAGAGATTGACCACCTCCCAGAGCACTTCTCTAAAATATTATTTGTCCAGAAGCCTTAGTCTCTCAGCATTAAATGACAGGTTGTTCAAATTTTTTGATGTGTTACTTTTTATAAACCATAATTTCCTAGAAAACAGAGGACATATAAATATATGATAAACTACAAAAGCAATTCAATGATATCATTAAGCTCTCAGCCCCTGAGTTCATACCATGGGATTTTAATTCTAACAGGTACCAGCTCACCTACCACCACCGCTATGCTACGAACATGGATGGGCGCTCCAGAACATCTTGAGATGATCAAATGGGCCCATGTCCAGTCATTAGGACCACAAGGAGAATCAAATCAGAAAGGTACCTTAAGATTCTGAATTACTATAAATAACAGATGAATGACTAAACCCTTATTACCATAAAAATATCCAGGTCTACTACACTTAGATTTAAAACTCTTTTAATTAGGAAGAGATCTAGTTTCAGCATTAAAGAATTTTGCTACCAATTTCAACTGAGAAATAAATATGGATGTGGAATTTCATGTTATAGAAAACTTGGAGAAAATGTTTAGTGATTGGAAGGACATACGATTTAACAGATACTGACATAATAATTCTCATAGTAAATTTGTATACCATACTCTATAGGACATAGAGCCCTGGAAAGTTGTATGTAAGTAATATATGATAAAAGTAAGACATATTTCTAATTTAAATATTATTTCTGATATATTCTAATTGGTCTTTATTTGACATTGGTTACGAATATTTTGGATGTGTTATTTTGGACCCTGCCTTTCTATCAAAGTAATATAAATGAACATAAATGTCCTGGTAAAACTGCATTTTTTTTTAACATAATTCTTGTGGAGAATTAAAGTCAATTAAATAATGCAAGGAACTTCAGTGAATTTATCCATTGCCAAAAGTATGAGCGTATATTTAAGAAAAACATGCCTTTCTGAGGAATTTGTAATGCATAGGAACCAAATTAATGAATTTATATAACTAGATAAAAGAAAATGTTAAATTGATTGGCAAGTAACATAACTGTACAGTTATAACTGATTTTTGTTAAAATGAAAATGCTAGAAATCACATTGTCAGTCTACACAACCTAAAGATAACATAAAGCTAAGTGCAATTTTATCTATGGTGAAAAACAAATGCAAAGTAAAGCATTGGCCCTATTCACAGGTGGGAAGGAACTAAAGCTAACCCAATCCTTGATCATTTCTTATTAAGGTACTTTAAATCTGGCCGGG